AGGTTAGGTTAGGTTAGGTTAGGTTAGGTTAGAAATTTTGTGTAGATTAAAACATGTGGGAACTTATGTTAACCCATGTTCGACTGTGGGTTACCGTGGGTGGGTGACTGTGGGTGACCGTGGGTTACGTGGGTGACTGGGTGACCGTGGGTGACTGGGTGACCTTGGGCGACTGAGGGTGACTGTATTAACCTCACAGATGACATAATGTATAAACGATATAAATAATGTATTGATGACAATGTATAAACGATATGAATAATGTATAGATGACAATGTATAAATGTGACGACGATGACTTTTTACTTTCCTGTGAGGACTAGAATAATTGTTTATATCCTTATGTGACCTATGATGAGCTTTTAATGACCCGAGGTGACCTTACTCGACCCTATGACCTTCTTTGACCTTTCATGACTGCCAAGGATAAAAGATGTGTTCCGTATTGGGGAGGCAGCGACCGTCGACCTTGTAGGAGAATGGGTAAAGTTTAAGTTGGAGGCGTGTTGGAGGAGTGTGGGGGGCGCGGGGCGGAGTGAGACATATGTATGTAAATGGATTTACGGATTCTCTCTGTAAAATCTGTTTTACAGTTGAGTGGAGCAGTTTATTTACACAGTGCCGCTCTCTTCACAAAGTCGGGGGGATGGGGGGGAGCATTTTTCTCCCTCTTGGTAATTCCGTGTACGTCTCGTTAAATTTACCCCTCCCCTCCCCCATGTATGTGTGTGTGTGTGTGTGTGTGTGTGTGTGTGTGTGTGTGTGTGTGTGTGTGTGTGTGTCCAGTGTAATACATACGAGAGGACAACTTTTAAGTATTAACAAATCACCAATTTCCACATTGGGGCAATTTTCTCCGTTAGTCTGTAAAAGGGGTGGTCTCCAGGCAAAGCGGGGTGGTCTCCAGGTAAGGGGATGTGGTCTGCAGGTAAGGGGGTTGTGGTCTCCAAGCAAGAAACTGTTCTCCAAGGATGAGACCAGAATAAAATGATACTTCCAGCAGCGAGATGGCCTCCGTATAGGGATGGTCTCTAAGTGGTCTCCAAGCAATACCTTAAACTAGTATCAGGTAACTATTGTTTTGTGAAGGAATTACAACCTCACAATACCACAACCTCACAACACACAACCTCCACAACACAACAACCTCACAACACAACAACCTCACAACACAACAACCTCCACAACACAACAACCTCACACAAACACAACAACCTCACAACACAACAACCTCACAACACCACAACCCTCACAACAACCTCACAACACCACAACAACACCACAACCTCACAACACAACAACCCTCACAAACAACCTCACAACACAACAACCCCACAACACAACAACAACCTCACAACACAACAACCTCACAACACAACAACCTCACAACAACCCACAACACAACAACCTCACAACAACCCTACAACACAACAACCTCACAACACAACAACCTCACAACACAACAACCTCACAACACAACAACCTCACAACACAACAACCTCACAACACAACAACCTCACAACACAACAACCCCACACAACACCTCACAACCCCTCCAACACCACAACCTCACAACAACCCCAACACCACACAACAACACCACAACCTCCACAACACAACAACCCCAACACAACAACACAACAACCTCACAACAACCCCACAACACCACAACCCCAACACAACAACCTCACAACACAACAACCTCACAACACAACAACCTCCCACAACCCTACAACACAACAACCCCACAACACAACAACCACAACACAACAACAACCTCACAACACAACAACCTCACAACACAACAACCCTCACAACACACAACAACCTCACAACACAACAACCTCACAACACAACAACCCCACAACACCTCACACAACCTCACAACACCACAACCTCAAACAACCTCACAACACCACAACAACACCACAACCTCACAACACCACAACCCCACAAACACAACAAACTCACAACAACCCCACAACACCACAACCTCACAACACACAACAACCTCACAACACACAACAACCTCACAACAACCTCACAACACAACAACCACAACACAACAACCTCACACACAACAACCTCACAACACAACAACCTCACAACACAACAACCTCACAACACAACAACCTCACAACACAACAACCTCACAACACCACAACCTCACAACACCACAACCTCACAACAACCTCACAACACCACAACAACACCACAACCTCACAAACACAAACAACCTCACAACAACCCCACAACACCACAACCTCACAACAACAACCTCACAACACAACAACCACAACAACCTCACAATACCACAACCTCACAACACCACAACCCACAACAACCTCACAACCCCACAACAACACCACAACCTCACAACACCACAACCTCTACAACACAACCACCTGACAACACCACAACAAACACAACAACCTCACAACACCCCACAACACCACAACCTCACAACACCACAACCTCACAACACCACAACAACACCACAACCTCACAACACCACAACCTCACAACACAACCTCACAACACCACAACTCACAACACCACAACCTCACAACACCACCTCACAACACAACACTCCTCACAACACCACAACATCACAACAACACCTAACAAGAGTCTCAAGCAGTGATAGTGAGGTTGAGGAGGTATCGAAGGGGAGAGGAGATAACTTTCTATACTAGTGAGAGACTTTGGGGGGAGTTTGACGGGGTGGGGGGAGTCTGACCAGGGGAAGTTTGACGCAGGGGTGGGGGGGAAGTTGAAGCAGGGGGGAAGTTTGACAGGGGGTGGGGGGGCGGAAGTTTGACGCAGGGTGGGGTGGGGGGGAAGTTTGACGCAGGGGTGGGGGAAGTTGACGCAGGGGTGGTAGGAAGGCTGACGCAGGGGAGGGGGTAGGTTAGTTTGTTGTAAGGAAAGGACGCGACACCATACTTCAAGACCACTGGGAGGAGAGGCTGATAGAAGAGGCTGATAGAAGAGGCTTATAAAAGGCTGATAGAAGAGGCTACAGAAGAGGCTTATAGAAGAGGCTGATAAAGGAGTATCCCAGGTAGCTACGTTATGAATTAAGCTGTAGGAGCTCTTGTGGTGACAGAAACACAACTAAATCAGGAAGGTTGAAGCTTAATGTTGTTTTAATGGTGATTTTTTTTGGTATATGGGAAATTTGGGGACTTTTCTGCCTTCCTTTTTCCCTGTCTCCTTCCTTCCTCCTTCAATCCTTTTCTTCTTTCATTCCTTCCTTACTCCTTTATTCCATTCTTCCCTCCTTCCCTCCTCCCTCCCACCCCTCCTCCCTCCCTTCCTTCCTCCCTCCCTCCCTCCCTCCTTCCTCCCTCCTTCCTTCTTCCCTCCCTCCTCCCTCTCCTCCCACCTCCCTCCCTCCTCCCCCCTCCTCCCTCCCTCCACCTTTCCCTCCTCCCCCTCCCCCCCTCCTCCTCCTTCCTTCCTCCCTCCTCCTCCTCCCTCCTCCTCCTCTCACCTTCCTCCTCCCTCCTCCCTCCTCCTCCCTTCCTCCCTCCTTCCTCTCTCCCACCCTCCCTCCTCCTCCTCCCTCCTCCTCCCTCACCCACCTCCCTCCCTCCCTCCCTCCTCCCTCCCTCTCACCCTCCCTCCTCCTCCTCCCTCCTCTCAGGGTAAAATGTTCCCTCAGGCGAGACCATAGGTATAGTTGTTTAAGTTGCATTGTTAAGCTCTATGAATGCCAATCCTTCACTCACCCACTAATTCATTAACACACTAAAGCTCACTCACTAACACACTTACTTACTAACACCACTCAATCACACTCACTCACTAACACACTTACTTACTAACACACTCACTCACCAACACACTCACTCACTCACTCACTCACTCACACTCACTACTAACACACTCACTAACTCACTCACTCACACACTCACTCACTAACACACTCACCAACACACTCACTCACTCACTCACTCACTCACTCACCAACGTTGGATAAAGGGGCAAGAAACAATGCTTCCCTACTTCTGGATACCAATTTAGAATCGTCAAAGGAACCAATTAAATACATACACTACTTTACCAGCGGGCGGGCGGGGCGGCGGGACGGGGCGGGGCGGGTTGGGGCGGGCGGGGCGGTGGGGCGGGCGGGGCGGCGGGCGGCGGGGACGGGGCGGGGCGGGACGGAGCGGGACGGACGGGACGGGGCGGGGCGGCGGGCGGCGGGGCGGGCGCGGGCGGGGCGACAGGACGGACGGACGGACGGGCAAGGGACGGAGCGGGCGGCGGGGCGGGCAGGACGGGACGGACGGGCGGTGGGCGGAGTGGGGCGGGATTGGGGCGGGCGTTTGTCTTGCCTTGATGCACTTATTCGTTGTCAATTTCCTTTCCATCCACTTTCTTCAATTTTGGTTTATATTTCCCTCTCATCCTTCTTTTACTTTTCCTCCCTCTCATACTTATTATTTTCCTCTCATCCTCCTCTCAACTATTTCTCCCTCATCCTCTCTATTTCCTCCCTCTCACCCCCCTTCTACTATTTCCTCCTCTCACCCCTCTCAACTATTTCCTTCCCTCTCATCCTCCTCTCATTATTTCTCCCTCTCACCCTCTCAACTATTTCCTCCCTCTCACCCTCTCAATTATTTCTCCCTCTCATCCTCTCTACTATTTCCTCCTCTCACCCTCTCAACTATTTCTCCTCTCACCCCCTCTCAACTATTTCCTCCCCTCATCCTCTCAACTATTTCCTCCCTCTCACCTCTCATCTATATCCTCCTCACCCCTCTCTACTATTTCCCTCCCTCACCCTCTCTATACTATTTACCTCTCACCCCTCTCTACTATTTACTCCCTCCACCCTTCAACTATTTCTCCCTCTCACCCCTCTACTATTTACCTCCCTCTCACCCCTCTCACTATTTACTCTCTCACCCCCTCTCTACTATTTCCTCCCTCATCTCCTCTACGCCTACATGGACACCTACATTTCTCACGGGCGTCATGGCAAAAATTTATTTCCTCATCTGTTGTCTTTCCGCAGTGGTGGCAGAAGGCGCGGGAGGTGGCTGAAGGCGCGGGAGGAGGCAGAAGGCGCGGGAGGAGGCTGAAGGCGCGGGAGGTGGCTGAAGGCGCGGAGGTGGCAGAAGGCGCGGAGGTGGCTGAAGGCGCGGGAGGAAGCTGAAGGCGCGGGAGGTGGCTGAAGGCGCGGAGGTGGCAGAAGGCGCGGAGGTGGCTGAAGGCGCGGGAGAAGCTGAAGGCGCGGGAGGTGGCTGAAGGCGCGGGGAGGTGGCAGAAGGCGGAGGTGGCTGAAGGCGCGGGAGGAGTAAGAAGGCGCGGAGGTGGCTGCTGGCGCGGGAGGAAGCTGAAGGCGCGGAGGTGGCTGAAGGCGCGGGAGGTGGCAGAAGGCGCGGGAGGTGGCTGAAGGCGCGGGAGGAGGCTGAAGGCGCGGGAGGTGGCTGGGTGGGCGCGGGAGGTGGCTGGCTGGCGCGGGAGGTGGCTGGAAGGCGCGGGAGGTGGCTGAAGGCGCGGGAGGTGGCTGAAGGCGCGGGAGGTGGCTGAAGGCGCGGGAGGAGGCTGAAGGAGTGGAGGTGGCTGAAGGCGCGGGAGTGAAGCTGAAGGCGCGGAGGAGGCTGAAGGCGCGGGAGGTGGCTGAAGGCGCGGGAGGGTGGCTGCGCGGAGGTGGCTGAAGGCGCGGGAGGTGGCTGAAGGCGCGGGAGGTGGCTGAAGGCGCGGAGGTGGCTGAAGGCGCGGAGGTGGCTGAAGGCGCGGGAGGTGGCTGAAGGCGCGGGAGGTGGCTGAAGGCGCGGAGGGTGGCTGAAGCGCGGGAGGAAGCTGAAGGCGCGGGAGGTGGCTGGAAGGCGCGGGAGGTGGCTGAAGGCGCGGGAGGTGGCTGAAGGCGCGGGAGGTGGCTGAAGGCGCAGGAGGAGGCTGAAGGCGCGGAGGTGGCAGAAGGCGCGGGAGGTGGCAGAAGGCGCGGGAGGTGCTGAAGGCGCGGAGGTGGCTGAAGGCGCGGGAGGTGGCTGAAGGCGCGGGAGGAGGCTGAAGGCGCGGGAGGTGGCTGAAGGCGGGAGGTGGCTGAAGGCGCGGGAGGTGGCTGAAGGCGCGGGAGGAAGCTGAAGGCGGGAGGTGGCTGAAGGCGCGGGAGAGAAGGCTGAAGGCGGGAGGTGGCTGAAGGCGCGGAGGCTGAAGGCGCGGGAGGTGGCTGAAGGCGCGGGAGGTGGCTGAAGGCGCAGGAGGAGGCTGAAGGCGTAGGGAGGAGGCAGAAGGCGCGGGAGGTGGCTGAAGGCGGGAGGAGGCTGAAGGCGCGGGGAGGTGGCTGAAAAGGGAGAAGGAAGGCAAGGGGAGGTGGCTGAAGGGAGGTGGCTGAAGGCGGGAGGTGGCTGAAGGCGCGGGGAGGAGGCTGAAGGCGCGGGGAGGTGGCTGAAGGCAAGGGGAGAAGGCTAGCGGGGAGGTGGCTGAAGGCGCGGGGAGGTGGCTGAAGGCAAGGGAGGAGGCAGAAGGCAAGGAGGCTGAAGGCAAGGGGAGGTGGCTGGAAGGGAGGAGGCAGAAGGCGGGGAGGAGGCTGAAGGGGAGGTGGCTGGAAGGCGTGGTGGCAGAAGGGAGGAGGCTAAGGCGCGGGAGGTGGTTGACACACTATACTACACATACACACACCTAAGTTTAACATAAACACATTACATTAACAAATACAACACAACATAACATAACACACAAACACAACACACCTGGTAAAGTACACATCACCCACCGATGGTTTGACAAATGTTATAATTGTGTGTGTGTGTGTGTGAGGTGTGGCGCGTGTGGTGTGTGGAGGTGTGTGTGTGGGAGGGGGGGCGTGTGTGTGTGAGCGTGTGTGTGAGGGTGTGTGTGTGTGTGTGTGTGTGTGTGTGTGTGTGTGTGTGTGTGTGTGTGGGGTGGAGGAGGGACTGAGGGTGGGAGAGAAAGGTGTAGGAGGGACTGAGGGTGGAGGAGAGAAGAGGGTGGAGGAGGGACTGAGGGTGGGGAGGAAGAAGGAGGGGGGAAAGGATGAGGATGGGGAGGGCAGTTGGAGGGAAGGGAGGTGGGGGGGAGGCTGAGGGGGGTGGGGGGAGGCTGACAGGGGGGTGGGGGGAGGCTGACAGGGGGGAGGCGACAGGGGGAGGCTGACAGGGATGTGGGGGGGAGGCTGACAGGGAGGTGGGGAGGCTGACAGGGGTGGGGGGAGGCTGACAGGGAGGTGGGGGGAGGCAGACAGGGAGGTGGGGGGGAGGCTGACAGGGGAGGTGGGGAGGCTAACAGGGAGGTGGGGGGAGGCTGACAGGGAGGTGGGGGGGAGGCGACAGGTGGGGGAGGCTGACAGGAGGGTGGGGGGAGGCTGACAGGGGTGGGGAGGCTGACAGGGAGGTGGGGAGGCTGGCAGGAGGTGAGGGGAGGCTGACAGGGAGGTGGGGAGGCTGACAGGGAGGGGGAGGCAGACAGGGAGGTGAGGGGAGGCTGACAGGGGTGGGGGAGGCTGACAGGTGGGGGAGGCTGACAGGGGAGGTGGGGAGGCTGACAGGGAGGTGGGGAGGCTAACAAGGAGGTGGGGGAGGCTGACAGGAGGTGGGGAGGCTGACATGTTTGGCCACTGTCCCCCGGGGCGGCCACTAACCAAACACCGTCTTTGTGGCCACGCCGGTATTATAGCCCAGCCAAATGGCCCACCTTGGCCATCGTACCCTCCGCCTCACTGCTGCCAATGTATAGCCCTGGGGTTATGTAGACTATGAGTTCTGTGGCCCGGTAAGTTCTACAGCCGGAAGTTGTAAATCATGAAAATTCTGAAACGTGGAAGTTTTGTAGCCAAGAAGTTGTTGGGATTCTAAGTTCTGTAGCTCATGAATTTCTCTGGCCAGAAAGCTTTGTATCAAATATTTTTATTTCAGGAGCCGTGAAGTGGAGGATGTTATGTATTCTCGCCTCTCTGTGTTCTGTACTCCAGGATTTCTTTCGCTCAGTTCTGAAATCCAAGGATACTGTAGCCTCGGAGTTATGTATCCAAGAATTATTTTTTTTTTAGTCCAAGATTTCTGTAGTTCAGGGTGTACAGTGTAAACCCAAGAGTTCTGTAGCCTTGAAGTCCTGTAACACAATAGTTCTGTCATCTCACGGTTCTGAAACTTTAAACTTCTGTAATTTAAAAGTTTTGTGAGTTTAGGTTAGGTTAGGTTTGGTTAGTTAGGTTAGGTTAGGTTAGGTTTAGGTTAGGTTAGGTTTGGTTTAGGTTAGGTTAGGTTAGGTTAGGTTAGGTTAGGTTAGTAGACGTCACTTCTTCCTCTTAATATTGTGGGCCAGAGTAATGTTGATCACCTCACACAAAAGTAGATTCAACACAGTTTGGTTAAGAGTCTAAACCTCATGTAATCATCGCCTCGTATCCAGGAAAAAAACAAGATTAGGTAACCCGAATGCCAATCGAAATAGACTAATCATCGCTTCATATCTAACCTAACGTAACCATACCGGAAGGAAACTTGATTAATCTACCTAGAGCCCAAATTCACTTGGTTAATCATATCCTCATATCCCCAAAAAACTGGATTACTCAGCCTGAAACTCAGCCAAACTGGTTTAATCATCGCCACACATCCAGCCAAAGGAAAGAAAAATCTGAGCTCATAAGGGTGCGGGCTGGTGTCCTGGGCTGAGGGCTGAGAGACAGGGCGGGCTCAGATTCGGGGTGGGCTTTTATCCAGGGCTGTAGTCAGGGGTGGGCTGGGACCAGGGGTGGGCTGGGACCAGGGGGGCTGGGACCAGGGGTGGGCTGGGACCAAGGGGTGGGCTGGGACCAGAGGTGGGCTGGGACCAGGGGTGGCTGGGACCAGGGTGGCTGGGTCGAGAGTGGGCTGAAGCCTCTGGTGAAGGCAGTGTATGCCGTAGTGCCCCTGCGTCCTACTGCCCTGTTTTCTATTGTAGCGATCAACGCGTTTTCCCCCAGATCCAATTACAGAATATACAAACATGGCGGCAACGTGGCTGGCGGAGGGAAGGGGGGAGAGAGGGAGGGCGATGGAGAGGGAACTGAGAGGGGAGGGGCGAGGTGAGAGGGGAGAGGTCGGCTTTACTGCCTGCGGACCTGAGGTCATCTTAATATGTCATGATGCCACTTGATTGGCTTGTCAGGTTTGTTTGGTGAGGGTGTGGTGTGAGGTGTGGGTGTGAGGTGTGGTGTGAGGGTGTGGTGGGTGTGGTGGGGGTGTGGGAGGGGTGTGGAGGGAGGTGTGGGGATGGTGTGGGGGTGTGGTGGTGTGGGGGTGTGGTGTGAGGGTGTGGTGTGGGGTGTGGGTGAGGGTGTGGAGGGGTGTGGTGGTGAGGGTGTGGAGGGAGAGTGTGAGGTGTGGTGTGAGGGTGTGAGGTAGGTGTGAGGAGGGTGTGGTGAGGGGTGTGGGTGAGGGGTGTGGAAGGAGAGAGGTGTGGGGTGGGGTGTGGGGTGTGGAGGGAGAGTGTGTGTGAGGGTGTGGAGGGGAGGGGTGTGAGGGTGTGGAGGGGAGAGTGTGAGGGTGTGGAGGGAGGGTGTGTGAGGTGTGGAGGGAGGGTGTGAGGGTGTGATGTGAGGGGTGTGGAGGGAGGGTGTGGGGGAGTGTGGGAGGTGTGGGGTGTGGTGTGAGGGTGTGGAGGGAGGTGTGAGGGTGTGGTGGGGAGGGGGTGTGAGGGTGTGGTGTGGGGTGTGGTGGGGTGTGGTGTGAGGGTGTGGAGGGAGGTGTGAGGTGTGGAGGGAGAGTGTGAGGGTGTGGTGTGAGGTGTGAGGGTGTGGAGGGAGGAGTGTGAGGGGTGTGGAGGGAGGTGTGGGGTGTGGAGGAGAGTGTGAGGGGTGTGGTGTGAGAGTGTGAGGGGTGTGGTGGGGAGATGAGGGTGTGAGTGTGTGGGGAGGTGTGGGGTGTGGTGTGAGGTGTGGGGTGTGGTGAGGGAGAGTGTGAGGGTGTGGTGTGAGGTGTGAGGGTGTGGTGTGAGGGGTGTGAGGGTGTGGAGGGGGAGGTGTGTGAGGGTGTGGTGTGAGGTGTGAGGGTGTGGTGTGGGGTGTGGGGTGTGGAGGAGGTGTGAGGGTGTGGAGGGAGGAAGTGTGGGGAGGTGTGGTGGGGAGTGGAGGGTGTGGAGGGAGGTGTGAGGAGTGTGGTGTGAGGTGTGAGGGGTGTGGAGGGGAGGTGTGAGGGGAGGTGTGAGGGTGTGGTGTGAGGAGGGTGTGGAGGGAGGTGTGGGGTGTGGAGAGGAGTGTGGGGGTATGGTGTGAGGTGTGAGGGGTGTGGAGGGGGGAGAGTGTGAGTGTGTACTGAAGACACTACACTACCAGTAACACACACACACACACACACACACACACACACACACACACACACACACACACACACACACACACACACACACACACACACACACACACAGCATGAACAACAAAACAGTACCGACATCAACAGTACCCGACATGACAGTACTCACCATTATTATTTATTATATACATAAACGACATAGATATTGGCATAGACAGCAACATAAATAAATTTGCTGATGACACTAAAATAGGACGTGTTATTAAATCTGACGAGGACTCCGCAAAACTACAGGAAGATCTAAACAAATTCTTCGAATTCTGGAAAAATGGCAGAAGAAATTCAACGTGAACAAAATTTAAAGTACTCAGTATAGGAGATGTAAACAGGAAGCCAGATACCAGATGAACAACGATGCCATAGAGAAATCCGACTGCGAGAGATTTAGGAGCAATGATAAGTAGGAACCTTAAGCCAAGTAAACAATGTGTTTTGCTCGTAACAAGGCTAATAAAGTACTTGGGTTCATACAAAAGAATTATTAGTTACAAGACTACGAGGTCATTCTAAAACTGTATCTTGCGCTTGTGAGACCACACCTGGATTACACAGTTCAGTTCTGGTCACCGTATTACAGAATGGATATAGAATCCTTGGAAAGAATTCAGAGGAGAATGACAAGACTAATCCGGGCATTAGGAACCTTGAGTACAGAGACAGGTTAAAGCATCTTAATTTGCACTCCTCGAGGACGTAGAGCGAGGCGACCTGATAGAGGTGTATAAGTGCAAGTCAGGGCTAAACAAAGGGACATTACAAAGGTACTCAAACTATCAACCAGGAGCGAACTCGTAACAATGGTTTAAATTAGACAAATTTAGATTTAGGCGTGAAATAGGTAAACATTGGTTTGAAACAGAGTAGTGGATGAATGGAACACGTTACCAAATATCATCATTAACTCGAATACGCTGAATAGCTTCAAACATAGGTTGGATGCTTATATGAGCAATAGGGTTGGGTGTAAACGGGACTGCAGTATGGGCCAATGGCCCGCTGCAGTTTCCTCCATTCTTATGTTCTTATGAAACAGTACTCGACATCAACAGTACTCGACATGAAACAGATTTACTGACATCAACAGTACTCGACATCAACAGTACTCGACATCAACAGTACTCGACATCAACAGTACTCGACATCAACAGTACTCGACATCAACAGTACTCGACATGAAACAGTACCAACAAAATGAACTCAGACAAAAAATACTGTAACAGATCTACAAATTAAGACAAAAGAATTCAAGTTAAAGCAGTAGTAGTCAAGGAGGTAGGATACATCAGTTTAGTATTGTAAATTTTAATAAAGAAAAGTCTAATTGATCTTAAGAGTTCTGTTAAAGTTAGTCATCTGTTAACAAGCAACTTTTTTTTTGTCTAATAAAGTAAAATAGTAGTTTTATCAAACTTTATCACCCGTGTTATTTTATGCACGGGAAAAGAAATTATATGTTAAAAATTATACTGAAGTTCCATGCTGAACAGAGATGTGTGTGTGTGTGAAGAAAGAAAAGTCACGTGACGTAAAAATATCATACAAAATAACCTAACCTAAGGAAAGGAAGCAAAAGCATAGATTAAAAGTATATATATATATATATATTTTTTTTAATCCTTCAATACGTTTTTTTCCTTCATATTTTAATCACAAGAGGCCATAAACCTGCACCCAGGAGCCAAGACACTAACACAGAAGGAAGAAAATAAACTATCACAAAATTCACAACAAAATGAAAACATTGCCACCATGAAAATATTCCCCACGTTGTAACAGCCTACATCAAAAAGTGCACGGACAAAAAAATGGCGGGCAAATCCTAGGTGTAAACAAATAGAGTCAGTGGATTGCCAGCGCGCGAAACTTGCTGTGTTTTCTCTGGTGTAGGGGGGTCCAGCCAGCTTGTCCCTCCGTCAACAGTGTGTGGGAGGGGGAGGTCAAGGCTAGTTGTTGTGGCTGGTGACTGTCAGGATCTCTCTCTCTCTCTCTCTCTCTCCTACCTTCAAACTGACTCATTTGTTACCTGTGCTTGATATTTCTTATTGGTTTATTAATTTGGAAACTTTGTATTTGTTGTTTTGATGAAAAATTTATAATATATCTGAAAAAAAAAATTATTTATATTTTATTTTGTTGCCTCAGTAAAAAATACGTTAAGGTTGGAGTGAGTACCATTGTAAACTCCTAACTACCTGACACAGAGTTACTACCACTACTACTACTACTACTACCACCATCACTACCACTTCCAGACACAGGGAGAAGAGCTACTACCACTACTACTACTACTACCACCATCACTACCACTTCCAGACACAGGAGAAAGGCTACTACCACCACTACTACTACTACTACTACTACTACTATTTTTTTTAACGTGGCCTCCAGCCTCCCCCAATAGCCACACCTTCGCCACCATTTAATTACCTTAATATTAAATATCCTAATACATAAGTAGCTATCCTATCTGTGTTAAATTAGTTGAGCCGCAGATCTATGCGGCATTCAGTGACTGTAGCCTCATAGTCAATATCTGCAGCAGTTGTCGGAGTAGGGGCAGGCTCTCGTTCCCCTGAGGCAGAGCAAAGCCGACCGAAGAAGGAGAGAAAGACAGTCGACATCTCATCCAGGCTGTAACATAACTGGGCTGCTGCTGTTCCGGAGATCACCTCCGTGAGTCTGGCGTAGAAACATCTTGCACTTGGTCCCATCACCAAAGGTTGTGAACACTAGAGGTGAAGCTGCCTTGATCAACGTTTTGAATTCTTTCCCCATATGCCCTTCTCTTGTCGTTCTCGTTCCTCCTATGTGCAGCATCGAGAGCTAGGTTACGGTGACAAGCGGCCATGGGATCAAAAATCCTGATGTCGAAGAAAGCTCGCTGTCCCCGCGTCCAGAATCCTCGAGCACTGACGTCAACACGGGCTTCGTTAGATGTGTTACTACTACTACTACTACTACTACTACTACTACTACTACTACTACTACTACCACCATCACTACCACTTCCAGACACAGGGAGAAGAGCTACTACCACTACCACCATCAGACACAGGTTTCATATCTAACGGATCCTCGATATAACGGCCTTTCCTCTCCATATAGACCGTTAAATAGAGGTTTCACTGTATCGCCAATCACCGGACGTCTCCAAAGGTGTCAGCCATACAGATGTGTTGTTAATTAACTTCAAGTGTTAGGTTAGGTTAGGTTAGCTGAATTTTCTGAACCCGAGGGAAAAATTATCATTGGTAAAAAACAAACCTGGTAAATGATACCTAACCTAACCTAACCTAACACACACACACACACACACACACACACACACACACACACACGAGAAGGAGGCATCTCACTTAACTACTGTAGGTTGGTATTTAATCACGTCTCAACCCAAACAAAACATTACAATAATGATCAAAATAAACATTCTCGGATACCTAAATAAACACTTTAGATAAATAAACACAATAAAAACATCAGATGAAAAAAAAAGGAATAAATATCCTTCCGTCGGCCATAAGTTAATGAAATATCCTCACGTCAAAAGTTATAAAACATATAACTATTTTTTTCCAGAAATAATAAAAAATATATATAAACTTTTGTAATGTGTGTGTGTGTGTGTGTGTGTGTGTGTGTGTGTGTCTGATGACCAGTGAGAAACTAGTGAGCAGCCAGTGAGTGACTAGTGAGTAACAGACTAGTGAGTGAGTGACTAGTTAGTGATTAACTAGTGTGTGAGTGACTAGTAAGTGAGTGACCAGTGAGTAACCGACTAGTGAGTGAGTGACCAGTGAGTAACCGACAAGTGAGTGAGTAACCGACTAGTGAGTGAGTAACCGACTAGTGAGTGAGTGACCAGTGAGTGACTACGTATTATTAACAACGTTGTGTTTATTACCGTACAATCATATTAAAGGTAACAGGAAACGACAAGAGAGTGTATGTATGCATGTATGTATGTATGTATGTATGTATGTATGTATGTATGTATGTATGTATGTATGTATGTATGTATGTATGAAAACAACTAAACTGATAAAATAATGATGAAGAAATAATTACTTTTCAGAAGCATAAGCACACAGGTGTCAGGGGTGCCAACTATAATGCTTATCGATCAGACCAACAAGAGAACCAGAATTCTCACCACCACTCGATTAGCTCAACCAGGCGTCATGACCTTGTTAATTCAAGGAAATGCAAATCAGCCAGCAGCACTTCTGTTACCCGACCTAACAACCCGGTCAAGACACACCCAGTTTAGTGTTTATTGGGAGAGGTCATCTGCCGGCTGGAGATCCCCAATATATAGGTCCTGTAGTTCCTCTCACACCAGGAGTCTTGTAAACCGTGAAGCAACTCCGTCCCCAGTCCCGCTCGTCGTCTCATAGAAGAAGTCCGTCACTAAGGGCAACGTGGCCTCAGCCCGGTCCATCGACAGAGTACCATCCTCTCATCGTGTAGAAGTAAGTGTTGGCTGTGTAGACGGTCGTAGTGCGGTGATCCTGAACCTCCCTAACGATCGACTTAGTGCCCATTTTACTTGTTAGATTATAAGGAAATACCATAGTCTACCATACACTGTGTACGAATCCCCCATTCATTCCCCCTATTGAACTAGTAAAATATAGCTGTAACGCGGATTGGTGTTTTATATACTGCACTTGTACTGAGCCTGTCACGCTACCATCTTCCCTCACTATACGACCTGCTACTATAAACGCCTACCTAGCCTCTTCATGTGAGATTTAACTTCATTATACAACATTACAGGTGTCAGGGGTGCCAACATTACAGGTGTCAGGGGTGCCAACATTACAGGTGTCAGGGGTGCCAACATTACAGGTGTCAGAGGTGCCAACATTACCGGTGTCAGGGGTGCCAACATTACAGGTGTAAGGGGTGCCAACATTACAGGTGTCAGGGGTGCCAACATTACAGGAGTCAGGGGTGCCAACATTACAGGAGTCAGGGGTGCCAACATTACAGGTGTCAGGGGTGCCAACATTACAGGTGTCAGGGGTGCCAACTTTACAGGTGTCAGGGGTGCCAACATTACAGGTGTCAGGGGTGCCAACATACAGAAGTCAGGAGTACCAACACAACAAACCTATATTTTACGTAGGAATTTATACCATTGTTCTATTTATTAATGTACCCGTAACAATTTTTTTTAGGTTAGGTTAGGTTAGGTCAGGTCAAGTCAGGTCAGGTCAGGTTAGGTTAGGTTAGGTTAGGTCAGGTTAAGATTACCTCCGTTGTTCAGTAATTGATGAAACAAACTATTTATTCTGTACTATAATTAACTGATTATTACCAGTTTATTCCAATTATTATCAACCTAATGGTGTAAACTAACATACTAAGTGTAAATTACTAGATACTGGTGAGCTATTGTGATCTCAACCTAACCTAACCTAACTTAACCTGACCTGACCTGACCTAACCCCATTCTCCCTTTCCCCTATCCCTCTAACCTCTTTCCACGGCCCTTCCCTCTCCCTCTCCCATCACCTCACCCCCTCCCCTCACACGCGATAGATGTCGAGTGGAATACCTCTACGAATACACACCCCTCCCCCACCCCCTCCCCCCACCCCCTCCCCCAAATAACCTAGTTTGTATATTAAACAGCTTACTTAACGCATCTACATTAGTCTGTCTGTGTGTTTTTATATATGCAGAAAACCGAGACACGCAAGGGACTTCAGAGCGACTCTCAGTGGCGCTAACAGCATTGTGTATAAGCCAAGTGAACAGCGAGGAAGGATGACGACCAACACACACACATACACACACACACACACACACACACACACACACACACACACACACACACACATACACACGTCAATACCCTTTAGCGACGAGATGTTTAGAAATTATTATTATTATGACTAGTTTTACACGTTATTGAGATCATAGTTTTTGTTATGTCTGTCTGTCTGTCTGTCTGTCTGTCTGTCTGTCTGTCTGTGTCTGTCTGTTGGGACCATAGTTATCTCTCTCTCTCTCTCTCTCTCTCTCTCTCTCTCTCTCTCTGTCTCTCTCTCTCAGACGATAAGGTGAATTTACTGTACTGTACAAGTGAGTTTGGTGACGAGCGGCGGCGGAGGCGAAGACAAAAGATAAGGACTTTTATCTGGGCCAAAAAAATTACGACAAAACATAAATGAAAATAATATATATATTTTAATAATCTGTAAGAGTCGATGGGAAGTGTGGAGAGGTTAGGTTAGGTTAGGTTAGGTTAGGTTAGGTTAGGTTAAGGTAGGTTAGGTTAGGTTAGGTTAGGTTAGGTTAAGGTAGGTTAGGTTAGGTTAGGTTAGGTTAGGTTAGGTTAGGTTAGGTAATGTTAGGAGAGGTTAAGTTAGGTTAGGTTAGGTTAGGATAGGTTAGGTTAGGTGAGTCTCCCCGGCTACTGTAGTCTGTGTTCCTACTGTAGCCTCTGAGTGAACCTTCATTCAGTCAGTGAAACAACAGAGTGGGAAATATGTGTCTCAGTGGTACAACAGAGTGGGAAATATGTGTCTCAGTGGTACAACAGAGTGGGAAATATGTGTCTCAGTGGTACAACAGAGTGGGAAATATGTGTCTCAGTGGTACAACAGAGTGGGAAATATGTATCTCAGTGGTACAACAGAGTGGGAAATATGTGTCTCAGTGGTACAACAGAGTGGGATATATGTATCTCAGTGGTACAACAGAGTGGGAAACACGTATAAGAATTTTACTAGGGGAGGTTGTTGAAATAGGAGAGTAAAAAAAAGAAAAAGTGAAAAAGAAAGAAGAAATAAAAAGAAAAAAATTGAAAAAAGAAAGAAAAGAGAAAAAGAACAAAGAAAAATAAAGAAAAGAGGAAAGAAAAAAGAAAGAAGAAAACATTAAGAAAAAGAAAAAAGAGAGAAAATGAAAAGGGGGGAGTACCGAGGTGGTTAGGGCAAGTGGAGAGAATTGAGAGCGAATGAATCATGAAGGTGTAATTGAGAGAGACAAGTGAAAGAAGAGGAAAGGGATGGACCGAGAATGAAATGAGAGAACAGAGTGAATGCATTATAGACGAGAGGAGGATAGGCGTACACATGTAGGTGCATTATGGCCGTGTGTACAGTCAGCAAAATATTATTCTCCACCTTTACGGGTTCCTACAACATGACACACCGGACCAAGAATTCTGAAAACACTCAAGAGTCAAAGTGGATGTTGGTAGCCGTGGCTTCTTGTGTTACGAGATGCGAATAGGGCAGTTAACATCATATAACAATGTTTATAAAATAATCGAATTAATATCAAAAGCAATTGCCATTACAACTGCTGCTGTTTGCTCTGATCGAAACTGCTCCGTTTCTAACAGATTCATTACATTATTTTAAACCATCACACTTCATCTGGCGAAATTATTTGCTACACTGTATTAAATAACACTGACAATGTTTTTGCTGTGTGAATTTTACTACCAGTTACCCCCGGCCAACCCCCTATTATATCATATAGTGTGACATATTAAAGATATATAACTCTTTTCTTAACTCACATCTTCCCGGTAGTTGAGTTACTATTGCGTATTATTGTATAACTCTTTCCTACGTTACAAATGTTTCTTATTATTCTTTCTGGTTGAGGTCTCGTATTATGCCTATTCTCATCACTTCCTCAGGTACTGGTTATAATCATGAGTATTTATACAATTTCGTTATATCTCTTAGTATGAGAAATTCCTATACAGTACCTCAGTTTCTATGTGGGTAACTAAACGTAGTACTGCGGTTTAGTAAATAATGCTATGACATTATCTGGTTGAAGTGCTATGAGTTTTATATGTATCCCTGATAATTTCTCTGTGGTATAAGAAATAACAGGAGAATATTTTTTTGGCCTGGCTGTACATGTCACTGAAACACACATTACCTATACAGTCACTGGAAAAAAAAAACTATCTATACCAAATCTGTGTTGAAAAAATATGACACAGCGGACGAAGGATTTTGACAACCCTACCGAGACAACAGGAATCACAGTGTTCATTCTGAAACTCATCGATCACCCCGGGTACAGATAATTTTTTGGAGTTATTGTACAACTTTTAATATATTTCAACATATTTTTCTAACCTTTTGAACATAGTGAAATAACATTAGTATATCTATTGGGTTTATATTACTCATTTCAATAGCAATTATAGAAAGATATAGAGAAAAAACATATATAATAACTCTGAATACATAGATGACAAAGACAGTTAATATACTTGTCTATGGAATAAAAAAAACATTGCTTGATATTCTCTATTAAACATTAAAGCACGGCGGGTAGAAACAATAAATAATAATAAATAATTCAATCATTCATATTTCCATAAAGAGATGAACAATATTTATACTATGAACTGCACTTAGGTAACGTGTTTTGTACCACTATCTTGTCAGGTAACGTGTATGAACAATATCACCTGTGTATGAACAATATCACCTGTGTATGAACATTGAACAATATCACCTGTGTATGATGGAGATATCTTTAAAACGAGGTGAAAGTTGTTAATGGAGCCTGGGTGAAAGACTGGCTGCTTAACAAGAAAATTTTGGGGTGTGTTAAAAATGTAGGTCCAAGTTGTGGGTGGGGGAGGGGGAGGGAACGGGGGAGGTAGGGAAGAGGGGGGGCGAAGAGGAGGGGAAGAGGGAGGGACGGGGGAGATAGGGGAGGAGGTGGGGGGCGAAGGGAGAGAGGGGGAAGGGAGGGACGGGAGGGGGAAGAGGGTGGGAGATGGGGGAGGGAAGAGGGAGGAAGGGGAGTGGAGATTGTGTTCTTGTAGTCGTTGCCAGTGTGTGGGTCTGAGGTATTATTCAGGTCTTATGGTTGATTTAATCTGTTATCTCACTTAACCTGACCTAACCTGACCTGACCTGACCTAACCCTAACTAAGCTAAACCAACCTAACCTGACCTAACCCTACCTAACCCTACCTAACCTAACCACAAGAACCTTTCAGAGCAAGTAACAGATTCGCCAAATATTTTCAATAGGTAGAGAACAAGGTGTGTGTGTGTGTTAATGAGTGACCGTGGCCCAGGTAATGGTACGGTCTCTTTAACATGATGGTGTTTTAACATTTAACAATAAAATAATATGAGGAGCGGACAAATTATTCATACGGACATATCATGTACTTAGAAGGATGTGAAATATACAGTCTCTCCTAAAATAAATTCTGTTTCTTCCTGTTTACTCACAAGAACAAAAGTTACATACTGGAAGGAATTAAGATACGACATGAGTAACCTAACCTAACCAAACCTGACCTGACTTAACCTACCTTAACCTAACCTAACCAAACCTGACCTGACCTAACCTACCTTAACCTAACCTAACCAAACCTGACCTGACCTGACCTAACCTACCTTAACCTAACCTAACCAAACCTGACCTGACCTAACC